AGTTCGGCGTAGTCCGGTGTTTCCTATTGTATCCTTCGGCGTACTTCTCAGTAGCCTTCTCAATCCCCTCAATACATCCCTTATGTATTTCGGTTAGGTCTTTTACTGCTATTGTAGCAGCAGGTACTTCGACTTCACTAGCCTTAATCTCTTCAGCCCACCGAGGGTGGTACCCATAGTTCGCGTAGAATGGTGTCTTGTTTATCGCGGAGTGATGGGTGTTGTTGTAAGCAAAGCTAGCTCAAGCAAGCAGCTTCGACCAGTCGTTCTGCTGGTAGGAAGTGAAGATTCGAAGGTATAATTCCAGGGACTGGTTGGTTCGCTCGGTCTGTCCATCAGTCTGTGGATGATACGCAGTAGAAAGATGTAGTCTTATGCCGAGACTATCGGTCAAGTTCTTCCAAAACTTCGAAGTAAACTTCGATCCCCTGTCCGATACTATACTCTCTGGTAACCCATGCTGGGCCACCACATAGTCCATTATCAGCTCTGATAGCCCAGCTGCGGTTAACTTCGTCGTGGCTGGGATAAAAATGGCCCATTTGGTCAATCGGTCCACCACTACCAGGATGGAATTATTTCCATGGGAATTCGGAAGCTCTTCGATGAAATCCATCGAGATGCTTGACCAGGGTTTAGTAGCCACCTGCAATGGTTTAAGCTCTCCATGGGGTTTCTGTCTGTTAGTCTTTGCTCTCTGACATACCGCACAACCAGCGATGTAGTCCTCAACATCTTTTCTCACTCCAACCCAAACATAATCCCTTAGGACCAGTTCAAGAGTCTTCGCCGAACCTGGGTGACCAGCCAATGCCGAGTCGTGTCGCATCTACATGATCTTTAGTCGAGCGTCGGCGTAGTTCGGCACATAAGTACGATCGTCGAACGCGAGGAAACCCCTTGGGGTCCACCCTCCACGAAGTATTAGAGGGGACCGCGAACTACGGCGTAGTTCGGTGATGGATCCTGGTTCCTGCACGTCATCGTGACACGTTGGATGAGAACACTCAGCGCAAATGACTCCTAGTAACTCTTTCCTAACCTCCTCCACTTCTTCATCTTCCTGTATGCCCACAATCAGATCCATGGGATCAATAAGGTCATTCTCTCTTACTTCCTTTGTCCCTTGCAAAGCACGAAGTAGGTGTTGTAACCCAGAGCTAGTGCCGTCGAGTTCGTCGAACTTCGGCAACCCTTGAATAAGATTGCTCTCCTGCACCATAGTACTTCCTTTTCCAGAGTGGTAGTCTGCTCTTCTCGATAGTCCATCCGGCAGTGTAGCTTGTTTCCCAGGTCGATACACCATTTTAAACCTAAAGTTAGAAAGCTCTTCGACCCACCTGCCCTGCCTCGGGCTTAACTGCTTCGGTTCCATCCAGTATGTCAAGTTCAAGTGGTCCGTGAGAACTGTAGTCTCTACCTGTAATAGTAAGTGTCTCCTTCTTCTAAAGGCCTCAACGATAGCTAGTAGTTCCTTCTCGCCTACCGTATAGTTTAACTGCGCCGCTTGAAACGCTTCTGACTCAATAGCTACCGGATGTTCTTGTCCTAACTCGTTTACCTGCGATATTATGAAGCCCCACCCGAAGAACGAGGCATCTGTCTGTAGTAATGTCTTCAACGAAGGATCAAAGTGAGCCAATACCGGGGCCCTACACATTCTATCCTTCAACTCTTTAAAAGCTCTTTCCTGCTCCATACCCCAGACAAACGGTACATCCTTTCTTGTGAGATCATTGATCGGTTTAGCAATCCTGGAGAAGTTGGGGACAAAGCGCCGATAATAACTAACGACTCCCATAAATCCTCTGCTCTCTCTTAGGTTCTTGGGACGGGGAAAAGACACAACAGCGTCGATGTACTCTGGATTACTAGAAACTCCCTCCCGTGAGACCACAAAACCCAAGAAGACTACCGAATCCTTTTCAAACTCGCACTTACTAGCCTTGACGAACAGATTCGACCTTCGAAGAACTTCGAACACCTTCGCCGTAGTTCCTCTCAATTCTTCCAACGTCTGACCATAGATGAGTATATCATCTATGTAGACAACCACTCCCTTCCCCAACAGTTCTCTGAAGCTTTCATTCAGAAAATGCTGGAATACAGCAGGAGCATTTCGCAGACCATCTCGAACAACAAGAGACTCGAACATACCGTACTGAGTCCTGAACGCCGTCAGGTGCTCGTGTCCTTCCTTTACCCGTAGGAGTTGATAAGCTCCAATCAGATCTAACTTGCTGAAGTACCTCGCTTTTCCTAGCTCTTCGGTTATCTGACCGATCAGAGGCAGTGGATAGGCATCGGGTATCGTTGCCTCGTTTAACTTTCGGTAGTCAATGACCATTCGCCATTGACCCTTTGCTTTCTTCGGTACCAAGAACATCGGTGATCCGTAGGGCGAATTACTGGGTCGAATTCTTCCGGCCGATATTTCGCGATCTAGGATGTCTCTCAGCGCACTTCTCTGATCTTCTCCGAGTGAGTAGAGTGGAGCAACCTTCAGGTTGACCCCCTCCTTAAGCTCAAATTCCAGATCATATTCCCTTGAGGGAGGTAGTTCTTCACCTCCCTTCCTCGGGTTAAACACATCAATGAACGGATGATATTGTTCAGGAACCACCTGATACAATTCCTCCTGTTCCTGCGGACTCAGTTCATCCTGGTCATCTTTGTCTCGGAGATCTATCGCGTCCGTCGGAGTTGGCAGCCCTATGGCCGCTAACTTCGCCGCACTCGGTGGGGTTGGGATGGGGAACTTCATCGAGTTGTCTCTTCCATTTAGAACAACCCCTTCCTTCCTCATCCAATCCCACCCTATCACAACATCTGCATCGCAGAGTGTTGTTACATCTAGACGAACAGATCGCACTTCGGCGCCCTTCGTCAAACTAAAACCAACCTCGACGAACTCGGTGATAGGTCCAGCGACACTAACCGAGCCATCAAACATGTGAACGGGTACGCTCACCTGATATCGTCTCCTTCCTACACCTATCTTCGCCGCTGCTCTAGGGCTTATATACGAACATGTAGCCCCAGTGTCCCAGAGCGTAGTTAGCCTAATCCCATTAATAAAAATGTCCGATTTAGGTTGATCCCTAGAAGTGGAAGAGATGAGTAGATGATTATCGACATTGCATGAACAGGGGGTACTGAGTGGTGTATTTCTGTATGCACAATCCTCTGACTCCATCAGCTGTGTCTCTTTTATAGGTTTGGGAATGGTGGCCGAGAGAATATGGCGGACCCGCCGAGCCTCGCCTACTGCGACAGGTCCTCCTCTTTTCCCTGGTCCTCTTCCATCTCTCCATCTCCCCCAACTGCGTTCAAGTTCCTCCTTTGTCCCAGAGGTACTGCGTTCCCCCCCGATCCTCCACCACGTTCGCCGAACTTCTCCCCCCACGGCGGCAACCATCCGACCTTGACCTTCGCTGCCCTCACCGGACAGTCCCTCAACCAATGTCCCTTCTCCCCGCACTCAGTACACTTCCCTTCCTTCCTCCTTGCCTCCCGCAGATCGGGAGGTGGCCTAGGCCATTGTCGGCGAAGTTCGTCGGCATTGGACGGAATGTTCTTGACCTGCGTCGACGTAATAGTCCCTTGTACCGCAGACTGCGCCGAAGTTTGCCTCCCTTCCCCTCTTTTCTCCTCTTTTCTCTCCATCCTCTGGCCATCCACAACTAACACTTCCTTTACCCCCGTCTCCTTCTTCTTCTCCGAATCCTTCTCCACTTTCCTTCTCCACAACCTGTTGTCCATGGGAATAACAAACTCCAATAACTCCTTGACCGTCCCAAAAGATTTACCATGTCTAGCAATTTCATCTAGGAGGTGTGGTTTCAACCCTTTCTTGGCTCGGTCAACCAGGTTTCCGTCATCAGACCACTTGAGTATTGCCACATGTCGTTGAAAGGCGGAGAAGTACTCCGAAGCTGACCCAGTCTGCCTTAGATCGTTAAGCAATCGAGCTGCGGTTCCTTCTTCATCCGGGTCACCAAAGTTTGTCTTGAGATATTTAACGAATTGATCATACTCCACAAGGTAGTCAGGAAGAGGTCGTTTAGCAAGATCGGGTTGGACGGCGAGAAGAGGTGTTTCGCGTAAATGAGAGATCATGAAGAAGACTTTCTTGGTGTCGTTGGGGAAAAGATGAGAGTTCAGTTCGTAATGAATTTCACATTCCGACAGAAATGCGGGCAACTTGTTCCTCTCTCCTCTCCAGAAGTCCGGATTAGGCAGTTTTATTCCCTTCCGTTGTTCGCCAACTACGCTTGGGGTCGCCGAAGTTTGCCGTCCCATGGCGTACCTCACCCCTTCTGATATCCCTTCTGCAATACCGCCCACCGTCTCCCTTTCTCTTCTCTGCTCCCACTCCTCCCTACGCCTTCTCTCTTCCATCATGTCTTTGTTCATATTCGCCACCATCTGCATCAAGGCCAATATCACCCCTTGTGTACCTTCTTCTCCCAAGTTCGCCGTACTTACAGTGTTTTCTGGCCGCGGGGTTTGATCCGATCCAACTGGGGATCCTATAGGTGGGAGAGCATTACCCGAAGGGGTAGGAGGATTAGAAGGTAGTGGTGGAGCGAACTCATCTCCTTGAATTGATCCCCCCACACTATCCTCCACTCCAAGCTGCTGCCCCATCGCTCTGCTAAGCTCCTCCAGTGCCCTCCTTTCGTTCTCCTCCATCCTGTCTCCGTCCCTACTCATACCTCGCGTAACTCTCCTATCTGGTTCCATAGAATCTTCGTACTTCTCCGAGGTTCGCACAGGTCGTCGGTAAGAGCGATCCTTGATACTGTCACGGCCGTCGAACAACTATCTTCTGGCAGACCGACGGTCGACGAACCTCGCCTAACTTGACGCTCCTGAGTCGATGTCTCACCCAACCGAGAGGGCGCAGACGTCGAAAGGAGTGTAACTACGGCGTACTTCGGCGTAGTTACTCTAACTGGGGTTTTGTTCTACTGATGGCGATGTATCTCAATTTGTATATAGCTGTCTCTATCTGTCTTTCACTACTGACAACAATCAAGGATCGCTGAAGAACTTTCAGCGATCTTCTCAGCTAATATTATCTACTCCTCCTAGACGTTCATCCAAACCTCTCGCGCTTTGACGTACTTCAACG